GGCGTCTATTCGATACGCGAAGTGCGGCTTTCAATGGATCAGCGGTGAGTTTTACTGTAAAACGACATTATTGTAAGTCGCTGCAACTCTTGCGGTTGTAGGCGAGCAATTTCGTCTTGCTTTCGTGTAGCTCATTAATTACGTGTTAGACCTCCGCAACAAAATCCCGTACCACTGTCTGCCTTACATCGGGTCTCGTGTAAAAGCTATTTAGAACGTTTATAGCCCTCGAGCAGGCGTACGTGCAGCCCCTAACTTTGGCCATTTTCACCAAAAAACCCTCCTCTGCTTTACCGAATAAAGTCTATATGATGTCAGCCGCGACGGCCATACCATTCTAGTTTAGTGGTCGAGCCATATTAATCAAGTTAAAAGAGGGGATTTGGTCGTGCCAGTGGTAATATCACGTTCGTAAGATAAGAAAGAGGGTTCGTTTTTGTCGTGATTTACCTGAGTCGATTCTACCGTGTGGTGGACCCATCGTGCAGAGCAGTGAAGTGCCATACATAAATTAAGAGAACACGATTACCTCGTAAGTGGAGCGAAACATTATCAACGTGAAAGTGTTGACATGAAGGTAAGTCTTCCCTCACTACTTTCGGCAAAAGATTTCACCGAGCCGGAGGATTTATCCGTAAAGGATATGTGCCGCATATTGCGATGAAGTGATGTCACCGAAATGGTACGGTCGGTACTGCAGGAGAAATGTGTCCATCGTCCTTGATTAATGAATATGTCATTGTGCGCGCTAGTAGCGCAGAGGCCGTGAAGGGGCGGGACAGATATACTCTATGTTTCATATCTTTGTCAAAAGGATATCACCACGGCGTGACAATAGATCCAACATACGTAAATTGAGTTCGCTATGTAACTGACTTGGGTCTCAAAACCAAACACTGCGTCATACATCAATATATCTTCTGAACGGAACCAAGTGAGGACGCAGAGTCTCACTTCCGTGCAAAGCACGAAGTGGATTTGTCAGAGAAAGTAAGTCTCCACACTCAGCGCCAATTTACTTTATCAGAACATGTGGTGAAATGCGCAATTTGATAACATGCGTAATACATCCACAATTTGGACACAAGTGCTATTTCTCAGAAAGGATGTTCTGCAGAACAGCATAGTTGGCTGCGCTGTAATGAGTGCTCTGACCTAGTTGATAGCTGATATCAACTGTTCAAAAGAGAGAGAAAAATGAATCTCACTGCAGTCAGTTATTCGAGCTGGGCGCACTGATAGAAGTTAGTTATGCCACAAGACTGAGTAATGTACCGGTGTCTGAATCAAACAACTGTTTAGGCCACATTCTAGCAACCTATTTCGACGATATATTTGACCGTAGCCGTTTAAAGCCCGGAAAATCGAATGTGGAGTACACTTGCAAACTGTGCTCGTACGATTGCGCCTGAAGAAGCTGCTCAACAATCTGCATTGTTGAGCAGCTTAGGCTCTATTTACATATCTGTTTGGGCTGCTTCATAGAGTTGCAGGGTGTAAAGGGGTTACACATACCCTGGTAACAGGTGTGTATCACACCAGATGGGCATCGTGTGACCACACCCACACAAGAATACGGTACGGGGCTGGATAGCCAGTAGCTATACATATGTCGAGATTTTACTATACATATTTTGGAAAATCTATGCTTTAAAAATTAGGCGGCTTTGCCGCAGATAAAAATAAGTGAAGTCATTTTTGAATTTAAACCGAAGAGTTAATTAGCCTTGGGTTAATTACTCTTGGACTAGGCGGACTGCGATCCGCTAAACACGTGCTTGTTCCGAGTATAGAACGAGAGGTCTGTGACCTAACTTACGCTTACTCAAGCGCAAAGCTACGGCAGCCCTGCTGCACTTGGTAGCACTTGTAGTCAATCTACACCTAAGTCGTTTAAACTGATCCTCTGTGAGGATGGAACAATTTGCTTCTTTGCCCCAGGGAATGCAGGACGGGCTTAATAAGCTGATGTCCTTGCTGGGCCTTGAGGGCGTGCAACACCTTGCTGCGCAAGGCGCCGATGCAATCGGTGCGCGTCTAGAGGCGTTTTCAAATTACAAAAATGCGCTGTTAGAGCACCTGCAGCAGTAGATGTCTGCTTCATTTGCGTCAATGATGCCACCGCCAGTAACGGACGACCTCCCCCGACCTCAGCCGCTCATGGTGGGCGTTAAGGTCTTTGATGGGAAGGATGGAGAGAATCTCCTGCTATGGGTGAGAGAGGTCGAGATGGCCATCTTATCCGCCATGCTACATACTTAGCAACAGCGCGTGGCGCTAGTCATCTCAAAGCTCGGTGATCGAGCGCAAAAATGAGCACTGACGTGCGGCTCTTCGGTCGAAGCTAGCTGTCCGGCAGCTCGGAGCTGTGCTCCCTCGTCCTCAACATAGCTGAGATCCATGGGCACAGACCCGTTCGACGAGCTATTTTAGTGTGCATTCCAACCAAGTCGTGCCGACTTGAAATTGAATTCGGCATTCAATGCCACATTCACCGCATCTTCAAACGAGGACGGATGCACACGGAAGACTTCCATTATGGTCACGCCAGTGCGGAGGCCTTACATAAAGACGGTCACTGTGACCGCCTTCGGAAGGGGATCTGCTGCCATCCCGGCAATGAGAGTGCGCATCTCTTAAACAGAGTCCACCAATTACTTGTTACCCTATCGGGCGGTAAGGTTGCGCGAATGTATGCGATATGCCTGATTAGGCGACAAGAACACTCGTGAGAGCTGCAATCTTTAGCTCCGCCCAGGAGGGAAACACAGATTCGACC